ATTTGGAGGACTGGCAAAAGGGGATCAATACGTTTATATGGGCGGGCAAGAAGCCAAGAGTTAAGTTCAAGATTATACAAGATGCACGGGAAAGAGGACTTAAGGCGCCGAATTTAAAATTGTATTATGATGCGGTGGCTTTAACATTGATTAGTGATTGGCTTAACTTAACAAATAGAAATATAATTTCCCTTGAGGGATGGGATTTATTATTTGGTTGGCATGCATATTTAATTTATGATAAAAAAGTAGACCAAGTTTTTAAAGCTCATATTTTAAGAAGTGCTTTATTAAGAGTTTGGAAGAAATATTATTATAGATTAAATTATAAAATTCCCATTTGGGCAATTCCAGGACAGGTGATAGAGGGGGTATCTAGAGGAGTTAACTTGGATAAAATTTCCTATAAGGAACTACTTAGTTTGGTAGGACAAGATTGGCAAATTAAATCTTTAGTGGATTTGAAACAAGAAAATACTGTATATTCTTGGTATTATTATAATCAATTGTTAATGAGGTGGAGCTTGGATCAAAAAGTTGGTAAACTTGATGTAAACTTGATTAAACAGATTAAAGATCAATCGCGAGCCCATATAAAGAGAATTTCTGATGCTTTGATAGAATTGGATTCGGAAACGGAATTGGTTATTGTATGATAAAATGGGCTCAAAATATTCAAGAACCGATTTCATTGGATACATGGGAAACAATTTGGGTTAGAAATGTGAAATTTACTCAAGCTCAAAATTTAAGAGAAAATTTTTATAAAATGTTTTATAGGTGGCATTTGGATCCTCAAAAATTGTCGTGCATGTATCCTAATTTACAACCTAAGTGTTGGAGATGTGGAAATTCAGATGCAACTTATTTTCATATTTGGTGGACATGTAGGGAAATAAAAGCATTTTGGATTAAAATTTGGTGGAATATTCAAAATGTTTTTAAGAAAAAGAAAAAGTTTACATCGCAGATATTTTTGTTAGGTATTATGGAAGATTTGGATGTTAAAGAAACGAATTTGATGTTGAATCTTATAACAGCTGCAAGATTACTGGTAGCTCAATATTTGCCTACTATAGAAGAATGGTCGCTTAAAGTGTCAAATTTAGCAGAAATGGCCAAGATTTCCGCTTATGTGAACGACCATTCACAAGAAAGATATATTTCGGTTTGGAGAAGATGGATAGATTATATTCAGAATAAATATGGGACTAAAAAGTTCCATTTGGTTTTTGAGTAAACTTTAGAGTATTATTATTGTTAATATTTATAATAGTTTATTTTTTCTGTTATTTTTAATTATTATTATGATATTATTATTTGTTCATTATTGTGTTTAACTTTAATTTACTTAAATTTATCTAAAAATGGAGTTAAAGTGCTTTATAGATTTGGTAATTTAATAGTTGGTTAATGTTATTTTAGATTATGATTATTATTTGTTAACCCTGTGAATAGCTCTGGGAAGTGGGGGAGAGAGGGGGGTTGGGGGGAATATTGTAATCTTTATAAAACTTTTAATTAAAAAAAAAACTATAGACCGATGTGGACTATAAAATCTTTACTTCAAGAATAGCTGAGAGACTGAAAAGATTTCTGACTGAATTTATACATTCAGACCAAAATGTATTTCTACCAAAGAGACAAATAAAAAATAATTTAAGAATTATAATGGACAATGATGGTAGAATCACAACTGGCAGCGCCAGTAACCACCAGAGCCCAAGCTAAATTAAAACCGCAGCTGGGTAGCCAAACCGGAATTGAATTCCGGAAAAGATTGGAAACAGATGAATGGTTCCAGAAAAATAAACACGTGTGCACAATGAAAGACGGACTGCCTTGGGTGGGGGAAAAGTTATATATACCAACAACCCAAAGAGTCACATTCATGCAGCTTTGCCATGACACAAAATCAGCAGGGCATTTTGGATTTGTAAAAACATTACACTTCATTAAACGGCAATTTTGGTGGCCATCCATGAAAAAGGACATAGAAAGGTACGTGGCCAGCTGCCCAAAGTGTGCAACTACAAAGAGGTTGCAAGGGAAATCGCCCGACTGTTACAAACAGTGGCAAATCCCTCAGCCCCCTGGAGGGAAATAGCATGGATTTTATAGTGGAATTACCAGAAAGCAATGGGAATATTGTCGTCTGGACGGTCACGGACTTGTTTTCCAAACAGGTGCACTTTATCCCTTGCCAAAAGATTCCCACCGCAAAAGCCTTAGCGAAACTTTTCGTGCAGCATATTTACAGATTGCATGGGGCACCCCAGCGCATCAGATCTGATAGGGGAGTGCAATTTACGTCTGCATTTTGGAAGGAATTTTTATCCCTCTTAAGGACCACTCAGGGACTGACATCTAACCATCACCCTCAGTCGAATGGTCAAGCAGAAAATTCGAACTCAGTACTTGAGCAATATTTAAGATGCTTTCTTAATTTCCAGCAATCGGATTGGACGAACCTACTCCCTTTCGCAGAAGTGACTTACAATAATGCAGTCAACTCCAGCAGAGGTTACACTCCTTTTCAAATAGCTACCGGTCAAAGTTTCAATCCCATGCCAGAACTAACCCCAAACGAACCGGCAATCCCATCACTGAAAGAATGGATGGAACAATTACAAAACACCTGGCCAATAGTTAGAAAAGCACTAGATGAAGCTAGGCAGGCATACAAAGCACAAGCCGATAAAAAAAGGGTTGAGCCTACACCATTCATTATAGGAGAAATGGTGTACTTATCTACAAAATACCTAAAATCCCGTAAAAAGTTTGGACCAAAATATATAGGGCCTTTTCCAATTAAAAGAATTATAAACCTAGTAACAGTAGAATTAGAACTACCCAAAAATATCAGGCAAATACACCCAATTTTCCACTGTAGTTTGCTGAAAAGAGAACAACAGTCACCCTTACGGCCAAAAGTCCCACCACCACCACCCCCAATCATGGTGGAAGGAGAACAACACTTCGAGATAAAGGAAATCCTAGACTCTAGGAGATATCATGGGACAACTCAAAACCTAGTAGCATGGAAACACCTCCCTGCCTCACAAAACGAGTGGATCCATAAACGTCATGTCAGAGCCTCAAAGGTGTTAAAGAAGTTTCATACAGAGTATCCTAACAAGCCAGACTAACTTTTATACTTGTTTTGTTTTCTTTACAGGTGGATCTCTCTTATTTTTAAGGGGGGCAGGATGTCAGAATCCAATTATATTTCATTTCTATCTACCTACTCTGATGAAAAAACAATTCTTACTCTATTCTGGATTCTGTCATACTACAAAAAGGGAAGAGGGTAAGCATGGGGGGTTTATGATTCTCACTTCCTTCATTAACTACAAAGTGACCGTTTGTGGATTCTCATCGAGAGAACTAACCATAACAATGTGGCCATCGCCTTTCATCTCACTCCCCTTTGCTGGCAGTGAGGAAAAGGGGGTGGGAAATACAATGCCTGGAATCTGGGAAAAGAGGATGAGTGATCATGCCGACGGAGCGGACTGATGGATTGAATCGCCCGGAAGAACTGTGGGGTGGGGCTGCTTGGAAACACTTCAAAACACTGAATGGTGGGAGAGGATTCCCCAGATCCTGCCTGCAATCAGCTTCTCTTAATAAAGATCCCTGTTGGAAGAGACATTCCAAGAGTTCTGTCTTCTTAAGATGTAAAATTGAGGTAGGTCCTTACACAGACTTTGATCAGATACTGTTAAAAACAGATGAAAAGTTGATCAAGAAACTCTATAGATTCCTGTTAAATTTAAAGATGGAGGAAGAACAAGTAAAAGAAACAATGATAATATTGGCAAAGAATTTTGGATACAATATAGAATTAGAAGAGTGGCAAAAAATATGGGAAAGAAATATTAAAGCAGTGCCATATAAAGGAAACCTATACAAAATGTTTTACAGATGGCACATGACACCAGTGAGACTAGCAAAAATGTTTAAAAATACTTCAAACAATTGTTGGAAATGCAAACAAAGGCAGATACTTATTACCACATCTGGTAATAAGCTGGTAATTTAGCTACTGGGCTAAAATATATTTATGGTTGGAGAAGATGACTAAAAAACAAATAGACTTTAAACCAGAACTGTTTTTGTTAGGAATAATAGGAGCCAAGTATGAGAAAGATTGCAGATATCTAATACTACATGTATTAACAGCAGCAAGAATTGTATTTGCCCAATATTGGAAAAATGAAAACTTACCAATTGAAGAAGTACTAATTAAGAAAATTCTAGAGTGCGCAGAAATGGATAGATTGACTTTAGAGATTAAAGAGAAAGAACATGGGATAATTTTTACCAATGGCTAGAAAAATGAGTCAGAGAGAAAGGAATGTGACATGTAATTTTGAATATATATTAGTAAGAATTAATTAATACAGTTTAAGATAATTAACTACATCTATTATTGTTAAATACATGTACCCAGACAATATGCTGTTTGCTAAATATTGAAAATGTTACCTGGGAAAACCCCAACGCTAACCCAAACCCCAATCCTAATCCCGACCCCATTTTATCTGAAACCCTATTAAAACTAATAAAATATATTAAAAAATAAATAAACAGAAGAACACTGATACTGATATCGCCTAAACTCCACTGAATATGTTACCAAGCCTGGTAATGAAATGTTTGGAAACCACCCACAAGTTCAGAGAATAAACATTCACCCTCATACACACACACAAAAGCCACCATGGCTTAGTTTTTCAGCAACAACATTGATTAAAACTTCTGTTCATGAATGAATCCCAGTTGTGTAACACTATTCAGCTTTAAAAGAAAAATAGAAAAGCAACAGGGTGTGTAATTAAGGACTAGTAGTGAGGACTAGGTTTTAATCTACTCTCAGCCACAGAATTTCACTGGGAGACTTTCGGTCTCAGTACAACATACAGGGTGATTGTTGTGAGGCAAAACAGAAGTATTTGTAAAAGACACAGAATATAGATCTGATAAATAAATAATACCTGAGGCCTCTTTTGGATCTTATGGATAAGTTCTTATGGATAAGAGGTGTACTTCCGTTTGACAATAACTTCAAATTTGGTGTTTTTAAGCTGTATTCCTCTTTACTTGTTCCATAATGCCTTATTGTTTTTTTGCACGAATTGCAGGTAATTAGCTAGAGAAAGACAAGGAAAGTCCACATGCTATTAAGCTCATTTCTACTTAGACATTAATATTCACTAGAACTACTGCAATGAAATATTTTATGAAAATAACTGAGAATCCATAGGTAATGTTTTGCAAATCTACAAAGTTTTACCAAAAAAACGTATAATCACTATTTATTTATTAATTTAAGTAAAAAAAATATTTCAAACTTTATATATGCCAAACACATCACAGGCTCCTGTGAAGTCACACAACTGTATTTCAAGAAAATGGGAACATGTCAGAAGAAACCAAGAATTTGGCTCCTTTGCTTTCCAACATCTTTTGCTGTCAGTAGATTCCTGCAGTGAGAAGGACATTACACTAGATGGATCCCAAATATGATATCCAATATTCTATGGTCATAGTTGCTCCAATTATTGTGTCAGAAATATGGGTTGATGTTTAGAAAATAAACAATTCCTAAAGCTGTATGAATTACATTATGCTGCTAGCATTTACTAATTCAACTATATAATGCCACAATGTAAAAGACCTTTTGTTGTTTCTTAAAATTTTCCTTTATTTATTTTAGTTAAGAACTCTTCATTTGGATTAATAATCTGTTATTCTATTGTTATGAGGCAAATTGCTTCAAGTTTAATCTTACCAGGGCATTCTTTGATTCCTTGTACTTCCTCAAGAGCTTTGTTTGCTTTAAACTAAGTCTGTAGTTTTTTTTTTCCAGATGAAGTATTTTTTCTATCCTTGGTGTTATTTTCATTTTGGGTAACAGACGCATTCTATAGTTATTAGGAAAAAAAAACTGGAAACAGTAGTAGCACACCTGATTTATAGGATGCTCATTTTTGCCTGTAAATAATAATAATAATAATAGTGAAGTTCTTTGAATTTTAATTATAAATATATTGTAATACAATCAAATTAAAATTTCAGTGTTTTTAAGTTGGGGTTTAGGAAGAGGAAAGCCATAAATGCACCTATACTAGCCCAGTCCACTATCAACTGCTATGTCCTGCAACCTTTTCTCGCCAACTGAACTACCTGGCAGAGTAATGTGCTGCTCAACTGCCTGCTGGTTGAAAAGGTCTTTCTTAAGCTGCATGAAAGCAACTGAAAGTAATTCCCATCTTTATGGAAGCAAAACCTGGCATTTTTAAAGCTAATTCCATAAACAAAAAGAAATATCACAGAATTACCCCTCTCTCCCCAAAGTTCATACTGAAAATATATAAAAGGAGAAGTTGACTATTAAATATTTGAGGGGGAAAATCTTCAGAGGCAGAGGGATGACATGGGTATTTAATGTACAAAGGTTTTCAGACTTAATTATTTTCAGAAAGCACATATTAACTAAATAATGATAAATTTTTATTTTAGAACTATTTTTGTCGAAATAGCCCATCTTGAAAAGAATATTAGAATGTAGAAATATAGAAAACTGACAAAGAAAAAGACCTAGTGGTGCATAAAGTCTGCCCTTCAAGGCTTTTTTTAAATTTTATTTTTTTGTCAAATGATGGACATGTGTTTATAACAAGCATGTTTAAATTCAATTATTGATGACTGACCCACTATCTCCCCTGGAACCTGGTTCCAAGGTTCCACTACTCCTTCTGTGAAGCAATACTTTTAACTTCCCTCCTGTCAGTTTGAGGTTATGCCTCCGTGTTCTTGATTTTTGCTTAATATTGAAAACACTGCCTTCTTGAACTTTATTCACACCCTTAATATATTTAAATTCAAATGCTCCAGCTAGTGCAAAGTGCGGTAGCAAGAGTAGTTTTTGAGGCCCTAGTGGCCCATATTACATCTCTGCTTTGTGAACTTCACTGGCTAACAGTCTGCTTCTTAGTGAAGTCAGGTGTTGATTATGACCTTTAAAGCCCATAATGGCAAAGGTCCAGACTACCTGATGAACTGCCTCGTTCTTCTAGGACAAGCCCATCTTAGTCATGCCAGGAGTGGGGAGCTAGTTTGGACTCCATTGGTCAAAGAACTCTGACTACTGGGGTCCAGAAGAAAAGCTTTCTCTGCTGCAGCATTCACCCATTGGAACATCTTATCTACTAAGCTAAGATCTGCCCCCACTCTTCTATATTTCTGGAAGAGCCTAAAGACAGCTCTGGCAGTTGGCCTGAGGACTAAATGGGGGAGTTCCACACTGGAGTTTGCTGCTGGATTGATGGCAGATTCCACCTTCCCTCTCTGCTCTCCACTCATACAACTTCTAATCATATTGATGAATTCTTGTTGTGTTTCTTTTTCATTATATTACTGTTCTTTTATTTTACTTCTGTTCTGTTTATACTCTTTTCATTTTCTTCATTTTTATTATTTTAAGCCACCTAGAGAAGCCACACAGCAAGATAGTGGGAAATAAATTTAACAAATAAAATAATAAAAGTTTCAATACTGTCCCCCTTTTCCCTTCTGTCCTCCAGATTGTACATATTCAGTTCTTCCAATATCTCCTGGAGTGTTTTGTTTCTCAGATCATGCACCATTTTTGTTGCCCGTCTCTGGACTCACTCAATTTTATCAATATCATTTTTTAAGTGAGTTCTCCAGAACTAAGCACAAAACTAAGCCTAAACTGTATATAGCTGAATTAGGACCTCCTTTTTCCTCTGGTGATCCCTCTAGTGATACATCCCAGAATTTTGTGTGCCTTCATACCTGCCTGCCTACACTGTTAACTCATTTTGCAAGTCATCAGCTATAACCACACTTAAATCTTTTTCTTCTAGTGTTCTGTTTAACACTGTACCCCCAATACTATACCCTGCCAAATGATTCTTTTTTCACAAGTGCATGATCTTACATTTAGAAACACTAACCTGCAGTTTCCACATTTTTGACCAATTTTCCAGAAATGCCAAATCGTTTTGCATGTTACGAATACCCCTAGGAACATCACCTCTATTACACACTTTTATGTCATTGGCAAAAAAATCTTACCTAGCAATCTGTTATATGACTTACCAATACATTTGAACAGAACACTCCATTTGTAAATGGTTTCTGTTCAGGCAGTCCCACATTAACAATCACAAATTGGGATCTATTCTGAACCAACTTCCTATGCACTGAACCACCCAGTGGTTAAGTCCTAACTTAAACAACTTTTTCATGAGATCATTATGTGGAACGGTATCAAATGGTTTGTTAAAATTTAGATAGGCTATGACTAATTAAAATTAAATTATTCATAAGCTTAAGCTTCCAGGCTTACTAGTCATTAAATAATTCATACTGCATCCTTTTTTTAAAAAAAGAAAAAAATCAATTCATCTAATAAAATAGCTATCATAAATGAGTTTTTAAAGACTCTATAGAACAGTTATTTTTGTGGTAAGAGAATAAGCCAGTTATCTCTAAGAAGATTTCAAGGAGTGGCTTTATGATTTTTTCAGAATATGTGATTATTTAGTAGCATACGGTAAATTAACTTTATTCAATTTAACTATTCAGTATGGTGAAAAAATAAACTTCTATGACACATAATTTAACTCAACACCTCCCCAATCACATTGCTGGGTTATAATAAAATCAAGTCCTGAGTTCAGATTTCCTGCAAATTAAGCAGTGCACTAATATTAGATAAAGACAAAGAGATGGAGAAGACATAAAAAACTGGAGAATTAACTGTTACTCCTAGTACAATATCTAGGTATATACCAGTTCATAATTTCCCATTCCACTTTTTCTTTATCTGCACCTAAACATGTTTAGAATGGAAATGAAAAGGGCATATAAAATGAAAATGTTCTGCAATTCATTTCTTTTAAATAATAAAATTGCTGACCACAGCACAGAAATTACATTTTCATATTTAAGAAGAAAAGCAATTTATATATTCCATTTTTGAAAGATTAAAAGTGCTGAAAAAATCTCAAAAGCTTTTAATCTGACTTCCATGGTGTACCACAACTCCTGTGCAATTACCTTCTATGTTGCTGAGTGTCCATCTGTAGAGAAGACATGACAAAAAAAATGAGCTGCATATGTTTATACTGTATGTTTTTACTACATTACAGTAATTTATAGCAAATCAAAATCCATAATACAAATCAAATCAAATCAAAATGGAAAAATAATAATCATTTTAAAATACTGTCCAGAACAGAAAATTGCGTTTTAGTATATAAAAAAACCGCACCATTTAAGTAGTCATGGATGACAGGGTGTTGGATTTTTTTGTTAATTTATTTTCCTCTTCTAGACATACCTTGCTCTTTTCTCTTTTTTATTGTTTATCTTACTATTAAACGTTGCGTGTCGCTCTGAGTTTTTAATTAAACGGCTTTCTAAATCTGACCAAAAAAAGATTACCAATGAGGAACGAGGGAATAAGTGAGAGGATTATAAACCACGAAAGTTGCCAAACCCGAAAATGAGGCGCGATAGGATATGAGTGTTATAAAGGCATTTGGAAACAGGTAGAAACGAGAAAGCCAGATGCACAAAAAGCCTTACAGTAAAAATCTGGCTTCCGCTGGGCATGTTCCCGCCAACTGTCGAGCTGCAGTTTTAAAGAACCGGCATTTTCCCATCTCGGCGAAAGCAAACCAATGCAGCCCAAGCAGCGTAAAAGCTAGAACGGCACAAGCTTGATAAGCGACGGAACCGGAAAGAATTCCAGGTCTTTTTCCGGTTACCGGGTGGGAACAATTCCCGCATGAACGTTCCGCGTTAATATACTAACAAATATGGTTCTAACCGCTTTCGAGGAAAAGACCGGAAAGTGTTTATGTCTTTTTATTTCTGCGTGATCTTTGCCCATTCTGTTCTTCACAGCTATGAGGAGTACAGTGGCCACTAGCAGCAATACATTATTTTAGTTATTTTTTGTTTATATTGTTATGTGCTCCTGGCTACTTTCCTTCGTGACCAGAGGCAAGCTCACCTGACCAATAACCAGCCAAGACACAGTGAAGGCCTTTTGTTTTGTTTATTGCAATAAGCGGAAGAGAAGCTTTCAAAGCTTGGTTCTCTTCAAAGTTTTAACCCAAAATATCTCCTTTTATTCATCCCTATCACCGGGCGCTACAGCCCTCCTCTTTCCCCATTGACTGAGGTACTATGAGGTTACACTCTTTCCGTCCGCCTATACACATTTCCCGATAACATATTAAATCATATTCACATATACAATAAGAATAAGAAAAATTAGACATTTAAATGGTTATTTTAAACTCAGTATATATTTATGTCCCCATTTTAAACAATAAGTTCTTTTCCTGCTTTTCAGTGTGCCTTTCCTCTTATCTTATTCGGCTTAGTTTCCTATTTTCCCCTTCAACCTTATTTCCTAGCTAGCCATTTCCTTTTTACAACTGTATATATATTTTATGACTTCTCTTCTTCCTTTCTCAGACCCAGCTATTTTTTCCTAAATGGTTTATCTTACTTCCTTTACATTATCTCTTCCTGACTCTCACCATTTGTTTCTATTTAATTAGTTTCCATTGTTTTGTAGGTTTAACTGACTGAAGATTTATCATATTGATGCATATTTATCATATTTTTTTATTAAAACATTTAAACTTTTAATACTCTTACTTTGAGCAGGGGTTGGACCTAGAAGACCTCCAAGACCTCAAAGGTCCCTTCCAAGCCCTATGATTCTGTAAGGTTTTCCACCTAGCCTCACAATTGCCCCAGCATTACTCAGGAATTTAAAAGAGTCAAAGAAACTCCTGAGCCGAGGTTTCAGCAAGCACACAACTTTTATTTTGATCAAAATAGATTTGGGTGACCCCATCTCTCTTCGTGGCTGGTAGAGAGATGAAGGCAACAACCAGAAAAGATGTCTTCTACCTTTTATACCTTTCCAGAACAAAAAGATCAGGTCTTGGTACTAGGCATAAGATGGCACAAAAAAATAATTCCTAGATGATACACATTCCTAGATGACTCATACACAGCAACCCAGCCTCCATCTGTAACTCCTTTCCCCCCCTCCCCTTACCTTGCTCTTTTCATATAAGCAATCACCTATACCTAAAGCATAAAACATTTGCTTCTATATAACTAATTTCCCAATCTAAAGCATCTACAAAGCTGCGACGTTTCGACGAGGTCCCACTCATCATCTTCAGGCTGGAGTCTTTGGCTTCAACCTGAAGACTCCAGCCTGAAGCCGAAGACCCCAGCCTGAAGATGACGAGTGGGACCTCGTCGAAACGTCGCCAAGATACTCTCAAACTTACACGGGAAAAGACCCGAATACGCCAAAACCTGCATACCTGTACCCGTGAAAATCTACGAATTATTCATAGTACCAAAATAACGATCACCAAGAGAGCATCTATAAAATATAGAATTTAATACACCAAGCTTTCGTCAAATACACTTGACATCGTCAGGGTTAAAAGACAAATGCTGATTGAAGTCTTATATACAATTACTAAGTATCTGTTTCCGGCTCTTAGAGCGCGTAACCGGCCCCAGCTGATCCTGCCGTTTTCTGGGCGTACTACCCACGTCATCGTTTATTCCTCTCCTTCTACGAGCTTGTGCTCCCTCGTGTATTGTTCCATCCGCCGTTTCGGCGTTGTGTGTATTCAGGGGATGGGTGTTACCACCCCTCCTGTATACGACCCCTCCATCACCTCGTGTGTGACTACCTCCAAGGGATACGGGGGGAGGCAAACCATCCCCCCTGTTCTTGTAAATCCAACACCCGATCTGTTCTTGCTTGCCAATCCCTTCGTGCCATAATACGGGTTCTTCCCTCCCCCTCTTGCTATTCTCCTTCTCACCCTCATTCTTATGCATAGTCCTACGTAACGTATGCCCCCTCCCAGTTTCATCCCTCTCACATGCCCCCGGAATGTTCTCAGTCGCTACCCCGTTGATAGCGCTCTCCCGTACAGTCTGTTGCCGGCAAGTTGTTGAATACGCTGGAGGGGGGTGTTTCCCTTCATTCCGTCTTGATCGTGTTACCATTGTGTGCCTGGTGGCGCCGTTAGAAAGTGGTTCCTCCTTACCCTGGCCCTCCGATCTCACCGTATCCCGTCCGTCCCCCTGTCTCCCGGATTCCACTCCGTGGTTAAGTATATTGTCTCTCCATTCCAGAGGGAGGTTGCTTTTCATGTGCCTTGACGGCCCTTGCGGTAGTTGTTCACTGGGATCGGTCTGTTGATGGCTAGACGGTGGTTGTGCCTCCGATGATAGGTGGCACGTAGGACTACGCATAAGAATGAGGGTGAGAAGGAGAATAGCAAGAGGGGGAGGGAAGAACCCGTATTACGGCACGAAAGGATTGGCAAGCAAGAACAGAATGGGTGTTGGATTTACAAGAACAGGGGGGATGGTTTGCCTCCCCCGTATCCCTTGGAGGTAGTCACACACGAGGTGATGGAGGGGCTGTATACAGGAGGGGTGGTAACACCCACCCCCTGAATACACACAACGCCGAAACGGCGGATGGAACAATACACGAGGGAGCACAAGCTCGTAGAAGGAGAGGAATAAATGATGACGTGGGTAGTACGCCCAGAAAACGGCAGGATCAGCTGGGGCCGGTTACGTGCTCTAAGAGCCGGAAACAGATACTTAGCAATTGTATATAAGACTTCAATCAGCATTTGCCTTTTAACCCTGATGATGTCAAGTGTATTTGACAAAAACTTGGTGTATTAAATTCTATATTTTATAGATGCTCTCTTGGTGATCGTTATTTTGGTAATATGAATATTCCCAAGAGTCGAATTTTTAGTTTTATCTCTGAACATTATAATAGAGCAGTATTGCTCGTGGCAAGACGCTGGGAGAAGTTGGCATACCGTATTGCAACCAGTTATCGTAAGCTGACTTTCCTGCACACCTGCTTGCATGAAGGATTACCACCCAAGTCTTTGAGGAAAAGACCAGTGGTCAGCTCCATTGAGTACCTACAATTCCAACGCCCCATGATACGTGCACTCATCAACGACCAACATAGATGGGTGAGTGCCCTGAAGATGGGGGCCCGCCATCTTCGTGAACAGTGCAATCAAGACCTTTCGGGACAGCACTTCCAAATGCTTGACAAGCACATTCGGTTAATGACGGAGAAAGTTAACCAACAAGTCTCCACGCACCTCCAACGTAAGATAGATACCTTACAGGGATTAAAGGGTAACGGGTGTATGGATAATTTAGTTCACAATCTGTCCTCAAAAAATCTCACCCGTCCCCAGCTCGCCCTATTACAACGTGATACAGGACACAACCTCTCAGATGCAGGTGTGTTAGACTTTATTGCCGCGTTGGAACCCACCATGCGCCACGGGGGTATGGAGGAAGATTCCGTGGGCCTAGTCAGGCAACAAGTTACCGGGTTGCTCATGCGCCACAGACATCACCAGGTATTAACTAGAGATGAGATAGAAGCCCTTAACCAGCTTAGAAAGGACGATACCATTGTGGTACTCCCCGCTGACAAAGGGAGAGCCACAGTGGTGATTGATAGGGCGCTCTATGTAACCAAAGCGCTGCAACTATTGAATGACAAGACGGCCTATAGAATCATCAAAAAAGATCCCATGGTGACCTTAAAAAATAGAATTAACAAACTATTGGACAATCTTAAACGAGCCAAAAAACTCGATGATGACACCCTAAGGAGAATAAGGCCTAATGACTCGGCGCTTCCAAGGTTCTATGGGTTGCCAAAAATTCACAAAGAAAACATCCCACTTTGCCCTATTGTCTCCTTTAGAGGCACCCCCATTTCGGGATTGGCGAAGTGGCTCAGCAACCGTATTGCCTATCTGGTTGATGGCAGCCCTACTGTAGTTAAGTCGGCAGAGGAATTCCTTGAGAAAGTTAGAACCCTTAAAGTGGAGGAGGATGAGGTGATGGTCTCTTTTGACGTCACCTCACTCTTTACCTCCATTCCCCAGGACCTAGCGGTTAAGGTCCTGAGAGACCAGCTAAAAAAACAAGGAAGAGCTGGACATCAAGATTCCCTGCACACCGAGGAGTTGGTGCAGCTTTTACAATTATGTTTAACAACTTATTTCACCTTCCAGGGTGTCACATATGAGCAGGTGAAAGGTACGCCCATGGGCTCCTCAATATCCAGCGTGGTGGCAGAGGTGGTTCTCCAACAGTTAGAGTGGGAGGCTATGGCCCGTTATCAGCCCAAATTTTGGGCTCGATACGTTGACGACACCTTTGTTGTCATCAAACGCTGTCGCAAAGATGACTTTATGGGGCTATTCAATTCAATATATCCGGATATAAAATTTACAGTGGAGGAGGAGGTCCAAGGCTCGATAGCTTTCCTGGACGTCTTAGTCCAGCGCTCATTGGATGGCACGTTGAACACCAGAGTCTATCGAAAGCCCACGCATACGGATCGCATCCTCCACTATTATAGTAATCATCCGATCTCCCATAAAGCCAGCTGTGTTAAGACCCTATTTAAATGGGTACAATCGCATTGCAGCACGGCTGAGTCAAAGGCAGAGGAAAGGAAACATCTGTTCCGTATCTGCCGGACGAATGACTACCCTCCTAAGTTTATCAAACGCTGCAGCATGAAGTTGGAACCCCAAAACAAATGGCAGAGCGAGGAGGAACCCTCAACACGAACGGTACGTGTGTCCCTACCACGGCCAGATTA